ATCTAGCAGGAGAGACCGCAATATGTCTACACAACTCTCCTCATTCCACCATCCTCCCTAAAATCATCCTGATTTCATGGGCCCTGAGACCGGGGATACTTCTGTACATGAGGCTTGCCACCTGGCTACAAATTCTATTCTATTCTCTTACTCATTATCTAGAAAAAATTTTAGAAAATCTCTCTATGAGCACAGGTACAAAAGTCTTTATTCCTAGTAAAGCCAAAAGTCCAAGAAACACCCCAAATTTTCTGTACCTCCTTTAGTTTGGGAAACAAGTCTCACCTTCATCAGCATGACAATTTTCCACCAAATGTGGTAAGCACAGTTGCCAACAAACACAATGCTTGAACTGAATTGGACCGCAACAATCTCAGACATGAAAATCAATGCCCAGAACTCCCTCAAGCAAATGGTTTATTTTTTCCTTGTCTTACTAAAACAACTGCCAGTAATTAACAATGGTATGCAAATCTCTTTTAGCCACGCCCTGCTTTTAAATCTCTAATGGTTTCCCTCTGAGACAGGGACTCACGTCCCATCGACCCCAGGCATTCTTACAGTGTTTAATTCTGGTTTACTATGCTATTCCTCAAATTTACAACTATTTACGTTCATCTCTCTCACATGTTGAGTCATTATCAACATCGTTATTAAAAATATTATCTCCCATCCGCTGCCGTGACCATGTTATTTTATATTCATGGCCTTTCTTAAATGAACCAAAGGTTTTAGTTGGATTTAGACTTGGTGATCAGTGTAAAGTCTTTCTGATTTTCATGATTTCTTAAATTGTGGGTCATATGATCTCAATCATGGTAAGACTAGAAACTGTCATTGAGGCATTTTATATCCAAGAGTTTCTGTATATGACAGCATATTTTAAAAAGTCAAAATCAGAAAAACTTGACAAACAGGAAGATATCTAAGCTAAAACATTTTGTTCATTAAAGGAGCGATGAGAGGCAGTTCCAAGATGGCCAAATAAGAACAGATCCAACCTCCAGCTCCCAGCGTGAGCAACACAGGAGACGGGTGATTTCTGCATTTCCAACTGAGGTACCAGGTTCATCTCACTGGGGCTTGTTGGACAGTAGGGGCAGGACAGTGAATGCAGCCCACAGAACAACAACCAAAGCAGGGCGAGGCATCACCTCACCCAGGAAGTGCAAGGGGGAAGGGAATTCCCTTTCCTAGCC